GCAGCTCGTGTACTGACCAGAACCAGGAAATGGGACCACATCACTCCTGTCCTGGCTTCTCTGCACTGGCTCCCTATACAGTCTAGAATAGAATTCAAGATCCTTCTTCTCACCTACAAAGCGCTAAATGGCCAGGCACCATCCTACCTGAAGGAGCTACTAGTGCCGTACTGTCCCTTGAGAGCGTTGCGGTCCTGGAGTGCAGGCCTGCTGGTGGTACCTACAGTCTCCAAGTGTACTATGGGGGGTAAACTTAGACTTAGACTTAGACTTTCTTTATTGTCATTCAAACTTGTACTTTACAGTGCAGATAAGAACGAAATTTCGTTGCATTTGGCTCGTTGTAGTGCAGGATAAAAACAGCAGCATGTATTTACATATAAAAAATAAAAATAAGGTGCAGATATAAATAGATATAAAAAGAAAAACTATGAGTAAAAATACTATACAGATAAATATATTGCACGTTATATTGTGTTTTACAGTCCAGTGAGGTAGTCCTGTGTGGGGGTTTGAGGGGGAATGGAGGGATTATTTTTTCCTGTTCAAAAGTCTTATGGCCTGTGGGAAGAAGCTGTTACAGAACCTGGAAGTTCTGCTTCGGAGGCTGCGGAACCTCTTTCCAGAGTCCAGCAGCGAAAACAGTCCTTGGTGGGGGTGGGAGGTGTCTCTGCTGATTTTCTGAGCCCTGGTCAGACAGCGGATTTTTGCGATCTCCTGGATGGGAGGAAGTGGAGTCTTAATGATCTTTTCCGCGTCCTCACCACTCTCTGCAGGGAGAGTCGGAGGCACTGCAGGCTCCGGACCAGACAGAGATGCAGTTTGTTATGATGCTCTCTATAGTGCCTCTGTAAAAGGTGGTGAGAATAGGAGGAGGGAGGTGTGCTCTCTTCATCCGACGCAGAAAGTGCATGTGCTGCTGCGCTTTTTTCACAAGAGCGCCGGTGTGAAGGGACCAGGTCAGAGTGTCTGTTATCTGCACCCCCAGGAACTTTGTGCTGCTAACTCTCTCCACTGCTGTGCCATTGATGAGGAGTGGTGTGTGGCTGGGCTGGCGCCTCCTGAAGTCGACGATGATCTCTTTGGTCTTATCGACGTTCAGGGTCAGGTTGTTGGTTCTGCACCAGTCAACCAGATGTTTCACCTCCTCTCTGTAGTCCATGTTGTTGTTGTCACGGATGAGGCCCACTACTGTTGTGTTGTCTGCAAACTTCACGATGTGGTTAGTAGTGGACCTGGCGCAGCAGTCATGGGTCATCAGGGTGAACAGCAGCGGACTCAGGACGCAGCCCTGAGGGGAGCCGGTGCTCAGGGAGATGACACTGGAGGTGTTGTTGCCCACCCGCACAGACTGGGGTCTGTTTGTGAGGAAGTCAAGCAGCCAGTTACATAGGGGGGTGCTGAAACCAAGGGGGGCCAGTTTGCTCACCAGATGCTGCGGGATGATTGTATTGAACGCTGAGCTGAAGTCCAGAAACAACATCAGCACATGTGTGTCCTTCTCTTCCAGATGTTGTAAGCCCAGGTGGAGTGCAGAGGAGATGGCATCCTCTGTTGAGCGGTTTGGGCTGAGCTAAAATCAACAAACAGCATTCGTGCGTATGTGTTGTTATTGTCCAGATGTGTGAGCACAGAGTGCAGCGCAGTGGAAACTGCATCCTCTGTACTCCTATTGCTGCGGTAAGCAAACTGGTATGGGTCCAGTGTGGGTGGGAGGCAGTTTTTCAGGTGTGCTAGGACCAGTCGCTCAAAGCACTTCATTATGATGGGTGTGAGTGCTACAGGGCGGTAGTCATTCAGGCCTGTCGGGCTGGAGTGTTTCGGCACTGGGACAATGGAGGTGGCTTTGAAGCATGCTGGCACAGCTGCTTGGGCGAGGGACAGGTTGAAGATGTCCGTAAAAACCCCAGTGAGCTGCTCCGCACATGCTCTAAGCACGCGCCCGGGGGTGCCGTCTGGACCAGCAGCCTTTCGAGCGTTGATCCGGCTCAGTGCAGCGTGGACGTCTTGTGGAGGTGAGTGAGAGGGGCTGGTTGTCTGCAGGGGGTCTGGTCGTGGTCTGCGTCTCCCTGTTGTCTCTATCGAAACAAGCATAAAAGTGATTTAGCTCGTTCAGGAAGGAGACATCTGTGGTTATCGGGGTGGAGTTGCTGGGTTTATAATCACTGATGGCCTGGATGCCCTGCCACATGCGTCTGGGGTCGGAGTTGGAGAAGTGTTCCTCTACCTTCAGCTTGTAGCAGTGCTTGGCCTTGATGATGCCCCTCCTCAGGTTTGCCCTGGATACGCTGTAGGCCATTGCATCATCTGATCTGAAGGCGGTGTTGCGGACCTTCAGCAGGAGACGCACCTCCTTGTTCATCCATGGCTTCTGATTTGGGTATGTGGTGATCTGCTTCCATGTTGTAACACTGTCGATGGTGGTATTGATATAATCCAGCACAGAAGAAGTGTAGGTGTCAATGTCTGTGTGAGAGCCCAAGGTAGCCTGAGAAGCAAACATACTCCAGTCTGTGTGATGGAACTTGTCCTGAAGTACAGAGTCTGTCCCCGCTGGCCACAATTTAATCGTTGTCACTGATGGCTTCACACGTTGGATGAGTGGGGAGTACTTGGGGATGAGGAACAAAGAAAGGTGGTCTGACTGTCCCAGGTGGGGGAGGGGGGTCGTGGTGTAGGCTCTTGCGATGTTTGTGTAAACATGGTCCAGAGTTTTGTTTCCTCTTGTATTGCAGGAAACATGCTGGTGAAATTTAGGGCGCACTGTCTTTATGTTTGAGTGATTAAAATCACCTGCAACTATAAATGCAGCCTCCGGGTGAGCAGTCTGTTGTTTACTGATAGCAGATATGAAGTTCCTTCATAGCAGCTTTAGCATCGGCATCAGGGGGGATGTAGGCTGCAGTTACAATAGTGAAGCTGAGCTCCCTTGGCTGATAGAAAGGTCTACATTTAACCATGAGAAACTCAAGGTTAGCTGAGCAGTGTCTCCCAACAGTGACAGAGTCTGTACACCAAGCTTTGTTAATATAAATACACAGCCCTCCTCCTCTGGTCTTACCGGAGTCCTCTGCTGTTCTGTCTGCCCGGAGTGTGTGGCGACCGGCTAGCTTGATAGCATCGTCCGGTACTCCGTTGTTTAGCCATGTTTCCGTGAAGATCATGACATTACAGTCCATAAGTCTCTTGCTGTGGATGATGCGAAGTCGTAACTCGTCCATTTTGTTCACCAAAGACCGCACATTAGTGAGGAAAATGCTGGGTAACGGGAGACGGTGCGGTGTTAGCTTTAGCTTATCTCTTATACCTCCGCGCTTCCCCCGCCTTTGTTTACGGTCTCGACGCCGCCTGCGAGCACTTCCGCCCGGCCGGGTAGAGTGCGTAGCCTCGGGTGTTTTGGCGATCTCGGGTATGAGTCGAAGATTGTTGATTAGATCGTCAGGGAGGTGTATTCCAATATCCAAAAGTTCCTGTCGGGTGTAGGATGTTAAGGCGAGACTGTTCCGTACGAACAGACCCGAAATTAACAAGAAAATTACTGCAAACTTGCAAATCTGAGAGAGACGCTGGGCCTCGTGATGCGCTCGCGCCGCCATATTGGTTTCGAGATTGGCCTCATCAGCAACAATGATGGCACAGCCTACAGGGAGGAGGTACAGCATCTGGCCGCCTGGTGTGCTGACAACAACCTGCTCCTCAACACCAGCAAGACGAAGGAGATCATCGTGGACTTCAGGAGAGAAAGAGGAAGCACGAACAACCCCATTCACATCAACGGGATGGCTGTTGAACGTGTCTCCAGCTTCAAGTTCCTGGGGACCCACATCACAGAGGACCTCTCCTGGTCCACTAACACCTCCAGTCTGGTTAAGAAGGCTCATCAACGCCTCTTTTTCCTGAGGACACTGAAGAGACACCACCTGTCTTCAGCTGTACTGATGAACTTCTACCGCTGTGTGATCAAGAGCATCCTGACCAGCAGTGTCTCAGTCTGGTACGGAAACTGCTCTGTCGCAGACCGTAAGGCGCTACAGCGGGTGTTAAAAACCGCCCAGCGCATCACAAGGTGTCCACTTCCTGCCATTGAGGATGTCCAAAGAACACGCTGTCTGCGGCGAGCTCACGGCATCCTTAAAGACTCCTCCCACCCTGCCCACAGACTGTTTACCCTCCTGCCCTCCGGCAGACGCTTCAGAAGCCTCCGGACCAGAACCAGCAGACTGAGGAACAGCTTTTTCCCCAGAGCTGTTTCTCTACTGAACTCTACCCCCCGAACTCTGAACTCTGTCTCTCTCTCTCTCTCCCTCTCTCTCTCCGCCCCCTGCTGACCCCCCCCTTTCCCCTGCATATCACCTCACACCCATCATCCCCCCACCACTCCTCCTGGTCACACACACACATCTCTCATCCACCTGTATTATTGTATTATAGTATGTTCATATTATGTCCATATTCTTTATATTATCTGTAAACTAGTATAGCATGCTCACTGCACCTTAATCTGTATATTATAATCCTAAGAATACACTTATATTTATAGCATTTATTTATATTTATAGCATCCCATTAATCCAGCCATATATACCTAATAATTCACTTTTTTTAGTCTACATCTGTAAATTTTGTAATTACTGTACATAGCACAGACTCTTGCACTTTCTGCTTATTTGCACTTCTGGTGAGATGCCAAACCTCATTTCGTTACTCTATACTTGTATATGTGTAATGACAATAAAGTTGAATCTCATCTCATCTCATCTCATAACAATGAGTAAGGTCTTTTTACCTGCTTTTTGTAACATAGCAACGAGTAAGGTCTTTTACCTGCTTTTTGTAACATAACAACGAGTAAGGTCTTTTACCTGCTTTTTGTAACATAACAATGAGTAAGGTCTTTTACCTGCTTTTTGTAACATAACAATGAGTAAGGTCTTTTTACCTGCTCTTTGTAATGTTAACAGACAAAGAGTAAGGTATTTTACCTGCTTTTTGTAAAGTGTCTTGAGATAACACTTGTTATGAGTTGACGCTATACAAAATAAATTGAATTGAATTGAAAAAATTATTTTCTGTGGCGGAGGAAGTCCGTGCGCCTGATAACATAGCTTGAACGGAGGCGGAGTAATTCAACGGTCCTGTGAAGCAGCCGTAGGGAGAGAGAACGTCTTCGGTGAACCGACAGCATTCGGACTTGGATGTAAGTTTAATATATTATCATTATTAATAAGTCATTTTATTGTTTTTGTTGTTGTTATCAGTTGTAGGATCAATTAATTTGTTGTAGGTAGTTAATGTCCAGAAAGGCAAAATGCAACGTCGTGTCATTAGCTAATGCTCCTTCCTTCGTGGCCGAGTACTAGCTTATTTGCCGTGCTGCTTAAACTCAAGTTTCATGGCCATCTCGCTACAAGGTGGATATGAACGGGGAATCATATTAAACTTCATAATTTTTATTGACCAGTGAGTAAAAAATAATGTATTTTAATTTTAAATAATGACTTGAAAGTTGTATTTTCCCCTTTGTGCTGCACGCGCATGAGTGGTAAACAGTTGATGAGGTGGAAATGTTTTGTGCATTTTCTTTCAGTGGACAACAAAGACTATTACAGCATTATAAAGATTTATAAAACTTAATTTCAGGCCCTGCATATAGCTTTATGCTGCTCTTTTAGGTCACTGAACTCCTTTTTTTTCTTTTATCCATATGTTTCAGCTAAATTCAGAGTTCAGGAGGATTGTCACCACAGACCTGATGGAGTCTTTCTTTGGTGGACTAGATGCCTTGTTACCAAACCTTATAGAGTTGTACCAGTCAGGTGTCACATCCAACAAGAGGTTAATCCTGAGAAGAATTCTGCAGTGTCTTGGGAAAGAGGTAAGCACTGTGTAGAGATAAACATTAAAGTCCCCATGAAATCAAAAATAATTTTCCCGGTTTTAATCCGGCGTTCTTGTGTTAAATGTTCATTTATTTGCCAAATATATTTCAATAAAGCATTATCTGAGTATTTTGCATCTAAATAATCAAAAAAGTTCTCTTCCTGTAAAACATTTTACATGCCTGATGACTAGGGATGTAACGATTCACTCAACTTTCAATACGATTCCCGATACTGGGTTCACGATACGATTGTTTCACAATTTATTTTACAGTGTTTCCCCTAGGTTTAGAGCTCTGAGGAGGGAGGAGGGGGGTGTCAGTTGGATAACACCACAGACACAGGAATCATGGTGTTCATGTGTTTCTTTTAATGACAGCAGTCAATATAACAACTGAACAATTATTTGAACTTGTAACGGTCTGTCCAGCTTAGTTTTTGTTACTGCAACTTCCGTTTCTGAGTGCACCTGAATGTATCTCTCGTTGTCTGAGCACCCCTGAATGCAGCATGGTCTCAACGCATCCCCTGAGTAACGGCAGAGAGAGAGAGACATGCCCAGAAAAGTCCAAAGTCAACTAAGCAGACGACTGTTTTTTCTGATGGTTCTTACAGACTTTTTATTATTGCGTGCATGTGTGATCTTTACATGCCTACTGATGACTCATCCTTCAGTCTGAAATGACTTTTTTCTTTAAATTGTTTTGAAATTACTGGAAAAATTATCACACAGCTAAAATAAGACCTGGTTTGAGAGCTCATGAAAAGAGGATTTTCGAGGGACATGGTTTTTCACTGGACAGTGACACCAAACATAATGTAATGCAGTGGATGATATTTCAGTATGTATTTGTACTTTCAAGTAAAGGTTTAAAAAAAAATTTCAACCGCTGGTAATATTGACCTGATTTTCCCCCCCACCTTTGTAGGATTCAAACCAAAACAGACTTACAGATGCCCTACTTGGCCTTCCATGCTTCTTTGCAGAGGATTATGTGTGATGTAAGTTGTTTTAAGAAAACGATTTCATGGTCATAACATAACATTTTTAAAACTTTATTTGAAGGGATACTTCACCGGTTGAAACATGAATCTGTATTGACATTGGGTCATATACATATACAAATGTGAAATACATTTTGAAGTTGATGCCTTCTTGACTGAGAAAAGGCAGAAAGTGTCTTTTTGGCTCATGTGGATGAAAGACAACAACTCCCAGACTCAGCACTGCAGCCCACTCCCACTAATCTGGAGAACACTGCCTACCAAGCGAGCTACTACCAGACTGAGGCGAAATTCAATTCACACACATTCTAGTGAGTATTTCCGGGCAGAAAACCGCTGGCTGTACGCTCAGAAGTGTCTGCATGAAGCGCTTGTGCACCAAGAAGAAAAGTGCTGCACGTCCATACGCTCAAGTTGAAATTCTTTCAACTTTTCAAAAAGGCGCTGTTGACGTCACAGGCACTGTATTAAAAATTTATGATATTCCCCGTATTATAGCGACCCACAGATCGTATCTTGTACTCACATCCTTTTTGCTCCATCTGCTGGGGTAAAAAAAGTAATAGTGCTGTGTCGGAGACAGAAGAAAAAATTAGGAGCCTTCTTTCAGAGAAGATGAAATTAGATCACTGTCAGATTGAAATTGAACGTGCTCATCGTTCAGGTAAACCTGCTCCAATGGGCAACAAACCCCGTCCAATTACAGTGAAGCTTCTAAGGCATAAGGACAAACTCTCCATTCTGGCTAAAGCAAAAACCCTGAAGGGGTCGAATGTCTATATAAATGAGGACTTCTCTGAAACAGTTCCGCAGAAGTGGAGAGAACTTTTGCCAGAGATGAAAGCTGCACAAGAGAGAGGTGATATAGCTTACCTACGATATGACAAGCTCATCGTGCATCCACCTTCACATAAGCCAAGAAGAAATGAGGTAATGACATAAGGAATCCATGTTGCTGTACTATGTTTACTCCTTTCATAATATGACTAAACAAGATCAGTGTTCGCAGTGTCAAAAAAGTATGATTCTGAGCATCTTCTGCACACTATGTAAAAATGGGTCTCATATTAGATTTACACCAGTATCTAAAAAGCCATCTGGCATATGGGCATCTTGGATTTGTAAAGAATGTGTAAGTCTATTTCCTTTCTCTATACTTGATGATGAATTTGCCTCCTACCTGATGGACAGTCATGACTCAAAACACTTAGACATAGACAATATGCTGTTTAACCCATTTGAATTAAATCATGAAAAAGGAAATGTTCATGATTCAAATTTTGATCCTGATATTAATTTCTTCTCAACAAACTCTAATCTAGGCCCTTGTCACTACTATAGAGAAAGCCAGTTTAATGCCTATGTAGGAGCCATGTTTATGAAGTGCAAACACAAATTGTTCCAGCAGGTGTCGCCTTTAGGTTAAGGTGAAACTCTATATAGGTAGGAACTATCACTGGGGTGTCAGGTGTTGCTAGACAGGGAGCAATTACACTTTTTTGACCGCTGTACGCCACGCTGAGGTAACAGGAGTGAATGTAAATGGACATGTCTGGATTGTTGTTTGAACAGTTCACATGTGACAGTAATCAAGACAATGATGGAATGAGAAATAAATATTCCTAAACAAAGAAGATATTGGACTGTCTTTTTTTTAAATTCTTACGCTCAGGAGCGAAGCCGGCAAGCGCGTCAATTAATAGACTAGATTAGCCCGTCTATGTAGCCCCTCAGTGGCTTTAAGTTTTAGGCTTAGCCGCTATAGCCTATATCAAGTCACTTTCAACAAAATCAAATATTTTTTCACTATTGCATTTCAATACCTGCAGCCTTCCAAAAAAACTATGACCAGCTTTTGCATTATCTATCACTCTTAGAACATGACTTCTCAGTAGTTGCTTTAACAGAAACGTGGCTTACTGAAGAAACTAAGGATTTATATGAACTGTCTATGTATAACTCTATTAATTTTGTTAGGGAACATAAAATCGCAGGTGGCGTTTCAGTTTATGTCCATAAAAAACAGTTTTAAGAATAGATCTGATATTTCCCTCAAATCTCATCACTGCACTACACTGGAACTAATAAATAACCTGCTACATCCTTGGGGACTTTAATATCAACCTTTTTATGGGGGAGACTCACTGTCCGACTGAAGATTTCCTGAATACCGTATTTTCCGCACTATAAGGCGCACCGGATTATAAAGCGCACCGGATTATAAGGCGCACCTTCAATGAATGGCCTATTTTAGAACTGTTTTCATATATAGTTCGCACCGGATTATAAGGCGCATAGAATAGAACGTGTTTACAACTGAACAAGGCTGGGAGATATTGTGAATATATAAATATAAATACGTATAAAACGTAACGTATAAAACTACAAAAACAAAAGTACATAAGACGATTTCCCCAAATAATAAATTATTTCTTTGACGTTTCTCTTAACTCTCAAAACGTAGTTTTATACGTAGTGCATTCACAATAACTCAACGTTGTTCAAACGTTAATGTGCATATTCACAATATCTCCCAGCCTTGTTCAGTTGTAAACACGTAAAAGAAACACAGTCTGATACCGCTAATTCAAACTTTAGTGCAGGGGTGCCCAAACAGTCGATCGCGATCGACAGGTAGATCACTGACTGATTCTCAGTCGATCGCGAGATGTTTTGTCAATATAAAATACAATTGTAAAATAGAAAAGTGATTTCAATTTCATCTCATTGCACTGTTTCCCACACACGATACCTGTGTTGGGAGCCCAAGTATACTTCCGACCTGTGTGTATTTAATTTTTCATTTATTCATGAAATTGCTGCGTGCATGAGAGAGCGAGCGGGGGAGCGAGCGAGAGAGAGAGCGCGCGCAAGAGAGAGTGCAGGCATGCGCAAGGACGTGCAGGTAAAACCGAGGGGGGGGTAAATGTTTTACCAAAAAGTCATATATAGAAACTATGCTACGAGTATTAAGCGCATTTGATGTAGCTGCAGCTACTTTTCTCTGCTCCTCTCTGCTGTCATGACTGTGAGCATCGCGGGGGACGAGACACACCAACAAACAGCGCAAACGCAAACGCACACGCACACACACACACTTGCACTGGAGCGCCAGCCACCACGCGAACCTTTTTACTTTTTACTTTTAGTGCTACAGCACACAGTTGATCCGTGATCCGTACGGACCGAGGTGGGAACACACGTGACCCGGTCAAACGGTCGGTTAGACTTTACTCCGTTCACTCTCACCGTGTCTGCAGCTAATTTAACAAAAGCAAAATCATCTCACAGCAGCCTGCTGTAGTCTGTAGTCTGCATTATTTTTTACAGAACTCTCATTTATTATTTTCTGTTTGTTGTGTGAGTATTAAATGCGTTTGTAGGCTGTTGGTAAAGGCTATGGCTCACTATGTGGACTGGTAGATCTCGGCAGACTGGTAACTTTAAAAGTAGATCTTGGTTCAAAAAAGGTTGGGCACCCCTGCGTTAGTGCATAACTCAACATTGTTCAGTTACGTATAACACGTAAAACTCACTTTTTCAGTTCATTCCCCGTCCACGAATCCCTCGAATTCCTCTTCTTCAGTGTCCGAATTGAACAGTTGGGCGAGTACGGCATCCAACATGCCCGGCTCCCTCTCGTCATTATCCGAGTACAACCAGTATGGATCAACCAATTAACCAATTGATCCATATATAAGGCGCTCCGGATTATAAGGCGCACTGTCGTTTTTTGAGAAAATTAAAGGCTTTTAAGTGCGCCTTATAGTGCGGAAAATACGGTAATTTATATGCTAATTATTTTTATCCAACCATTAGTAAACCAACCAGGGTAACAAATAAAACGGCAACTTTGATTGATAATATACTGACAAATTCTATGCAGAATATGTCATTGCTTGCAAATTCAATGAGTTTTTTGTGAATGTGGGAACTTCCATCTCTAAGCAGTTTGGAAACACAAATGAAAGTCCAACCGATTATATCAGAGGTAGCTTTCCATCATTCTGCTCGTTTGAACCTCTTAACTGTAATGAGATAAATGACATTATTATAGAGCTAAAACAATCTGCCCCGGGTCATGACGGCATTAGTGCAACCCTTGTTAAAGAGGTAAAAAGATCAATATTGAAACCGCTCTTGCATGTTTTTACGATGTCCATGGAAACTGGTACTGCTCCTTCTGATCTTAAACTGGCAAAGGTTATTCCACTTTTTAAATCAGGTGATCCAGGACATTTTACAAACTACCGTCCCATCTCAGTTCTTCCATGTTTTTCCAAAATCTTAGAAAAACTAGTATATAAACGCATCCTCAAACATTTGAACATGCATTGTATACTGTATGAACACCAGTATGGATTCTGAAAAAAACACTCTGCCTATATGGCCCTCTTACAACTAGTGGACAAGATTCATTCTGCATTAGAAAAGAAAGAGTTTTCATGTGGTATTTTTTCTGGATCTCTCTAAAGCATTCGATGCTGTAAATCATGAAATTTTACTAGCTAAACTATATAGATATGGATTTAATGGAAATGTCCTGAAGTGGCTCAGTAATTATGTATATAACAGACAGCAGTATGTCAACATAAATGGTGTAGAGTCTGAGAGAACTACGATGCAGTGTGGGGGTCCCACAAGGGTCCATTTTAGGACCGTTACTGTTTCTCATATACATTAACGATCTTGCAACAGTATCAAACACAATATGCCCATTATTATTTGCAGATGATACTAATTTACTTGTCTCCAATAAAAAAATGTCAGAACTCATGAATGAAGTAAATGATGGCCTTCTTGCATATTCAAAATGGTTTAAAACAAATAAGTTGGCATTAAATGTGTAAAAAAATCTAACTTCATGATATTTGCTGGAAAAATTAACTATAACTCTGAAATGGTGAAATTGTATATAAATGGTGAAGAAATGACTGAAGTAACATCAACAAGATTCTTAGGGATCTTAATTGATGAGAAACTTACATAGAAAGATCACATCAGCTTTGTCTGTAGTGTTGGGCCACACAGGCTTAGGACAGTCAAACAATGGACTTGGGCCTGCACCTCTGCAAAAGCCTCATTTGAGTTATTCACTGAGATC